ACTGTAAACTCAAACTCTTCTTCTTTCAGCTGAAGGAAAGTACGCTCTTCCTCTCTTCCTTAAACTCTGTTTTGGATCCTCTCATCTACTTTTTCCTCTGTAAGTCTTTCAGGAACACCTTGTTCAAGACCCTGCAACTGGCTCCTGGAACCTGCAGCAGGCTCACAGGGAGGGGATCAGAGGACACAGTGAGCACTATCTGAGGGACCCTTCTGTCTGTACATAAAATCCACCGGATATGATAAAGGCTTTTGTTTATAGTATCTGTGTGTACTGTGATGATGTCTTGTTTTCAAGTATTGGAAAAAATGGTTTTGTTTCTATAATCATTAGAGAAATACAGTAGGTAAAATATATTTCGTTAATTGTCATAATCAACATGCTGATCATCACAAAACGATTATAACACTACCCCTTTCAGTTTTATCATTGTTATTAAAAGCAATGAACTTTTAAGTAATTGTGTGTGGAAAGCACACACACCAAAGTTGAAATATTTGTAAAAATACTTTAAACATTTTTGTATTATATGTTTTTGCAGTCGTTGATTCATACATGAAAAACCAACACTGGTATGTTTTCTTTCAGTTCTGTATTCCACATTATAACTACATGAAGTTCCTCTTCTATGTTTTCATTTGTGCTGATTTTGAAAAGAATATACTGTACTATATTCCTATAATAAAAAAGTCAACCTGTAAATTAAAGTCTTTTAAATGATCTGATCTGTTACTTTTGCATGCTGCATGAAGGTATTGCTGTTTAGTGTAAGCATTCACTGATTCTTCAGGACAATCAGATACAGTAGATAGTTGCTATGTGCATTAGATTTATTTCTGTACAGTTTTGCTACTAAGAACCATCCTTATCTAAGTAAGTATAAAAAGAATACATATTTCCTTATGTTACAACCACTTGCCAAACCATTGGAGCTTAGCGGTTTCAAAGAAATGAATATAGAAACAAAAAAGAGGAAATATTAATATACTGTAGTGGTAATGTGGTTTATTGCTGTGCCTGTTGTATGATATCATGCACATCTTCAGTACAGTTTACATACTGTAGACAAAATACACTTGACGAGCTGTAAGCACTGTCACATCACTTGTCACACTCACTTAAAATATGTTGTTTGTGCAGAAAAGATCAATCCTGAAATCCAATCCAATAAGTATTGGATTTCATAAATTGACCAATAAACATTTGAATTTGCTATAGTGAAGTTTATCAATCAAGTAAATATGAAACAAGCAAAGCAAAAGAATGATTACAAATACAGCACATTGGAGTAGAGCGACTTGGGACAGATGTTCAAGCAGTGAAGCCTGATAACACATGGCTTACCAAAATCTATTTTATTTGAATCCTCTTTCCCCCATCAGCAACTCACTGCCCGACCACAGCAACTCATAGATTTGCATCTGTGTGGTGAAGTGGATGACACTGTGATGTGTTTTGTAAAGGTGTTAATCTAGCAGGCTACACTGTGGAGTGAAGGAGCTAACCAATACTGGTGAGTCACTTCATAGAATGTATTGTTTCACTTTTTTAGGGAAAACTTTTGATTGATGGAATATTCCATATAAGTCAAACTTTCTAACTGTTTTAAAATTATAGTTAACTGTATTCTGAACAACTTAAGTTGGTCTTGACCAGTAAAATCTCTCAAAGTGACATTGTCTTAAGCATAAATACTGTGTGTGGACTATGGTCTAAATTATATATATATACTGTATATAACTTAACCACATTTGTATCTATGTTCTTACATTTCTGTAATGATGTTTGGAAAAATGCAGCTATCCCATACTGTCAATATACTGAAAAGGTAAATCCAGGTAAATCTCTAAATGATAAAACCTACATCAAAACCTTTTACAAAGTAAACACATATCTATTGTGAAAGGGGGGCTTTGCTAACCAGGCTCTAAAAGGCATTTCAGTGTTGTATACACATGTGATAAAACAACTATAATGTGTTTTTATGTTTTTGTTTTTCACTTTACTTAGTATGTTGAAAACAGATCCAACAACTTCCGTCAGTCAGTGTAAAGAGTGTAAGTGTCAGGTTCAGTGTCAAGGATGCATTCAAATGCACTGGTTAAGCATTCAAAATCAATTCATAGTAGCAAATGTCTTTTAAACCATAATGACAAATGCAAATCAGGTTCAACCATAAATTTAAAACAGTAGTTGTTCTAAGTCTTAAACAAATCATGGGCAGGGAGAAACATAACACAGCGCTCTGGTCTTCACCTCAGCGACACATTTGCTTTGAACCCCCTATCTTACTCACACCACTAAATCAATACCAATAAACCCTTCTAGCAATTGATAAAAGCTACTAATTTCACTTCCAAATGTGTTCAATCAAAAGCAACATATCTGGATGTAGGTCTTGCTTACAGAACCTGTTGAGAATTTTCTATTTTAATGTCCGATCACAGTTGTCAAAACTAATTTGAATTTTTCTATGATGTCTGTTTGATTCTTTGATTCCAGATGGTATGATGGTGTCCAAGAACACAGCAGCCTTCTCCTCTGGTTGTGCATCTATCAGCCCTGTGACAGTAGATATGGCGGTCTCCTACCTTTACTTCTTCATGTTCCCTATTGCACTATTGCTGAATGGGGTAGCAGCATGGGTGTCTTTGCACCTCCGGTCCACATCCACTTTCATAGTGTATCTGAAAAACCTGGTAGCTGCTGACCTGCTGATGACCCTGACGCTCCCGCTAATGGCAGCTAGCATGCTACCTGGAGCATCAATTCCGTTAAGGGCTTTTGCTTGCCGCTACTCTAATGTCATTTTCTACTGCTGTTTGTACACAAGTATTGCTTTAATAGGTCTTATCAGCCTTGATCGCTTCTTCAAAATTGTTAGACCATGCGGCAAGTTCCTGGGACAAAATGTGATCTTCAGTTTTGTCATGTCCACCTTGGTTTGGGTTGTGATATTTGGTGGTACAGCCGTCCCAACTATCATTCTAACAGACCAGAATCCTGTTAATACAACAGGATATTTCTGTGATTCCCTAAAGAGTCCGGCTGGAGTGACTCTCAACACATTTGTGGTTCTATCTATGGAGAGTCTCTTTTGGCTTGTCAGCATAGTGATTGTGTTTTGCTACATCTGCATCACCTTGAAAGTCCTGCAGTCCTTCAGAAACTCTGGGAGCAACAACAGCCACGGAAAGACGAAGACCAAGCTGAGAGTCTTCCTGATCCTTCTTGTGTTTTTCGTGTGTTTTGTGCCTCTTCACGTTTTGCGTGTTCCGGTAACAATGGATGAAGAAATGGATGAAGAAATGGATGACTGTGTTAAAATTTGGGTGACGATTATCCATAAATTGTTCCTGTGGGTCTCTGCTACTAATTCCTGCCTGGACCCTCTTCTGTACATCTGCCTGTGCAGGGAGTACAGAGAGAAGCTGGTTGAACTGATGAAAGCTTGAGGAATCTGTGTAGGGTTATATTCAGGTAAAAATGCAGATGATTCCAAATCGAAAGAATAATGATTAGTCATAAATAAATTAGAGATACATATGATGTTTTTAGTCACACATTAGGCTGTTGCAGTCTTTCAGCATTGATCGGTATGTTGTACTGCCCTCTAGTGGCCGGATAGGGAATAGCATGTGTTAAGACTAAAGGTCTATTAAGAGAGAGAAACATGGTAGAAAGCAGTGAGATACAACCTGTAATAAAAGCGCTAGGCAAATGTATTCTTTCTTTTTCTAAATGTACTGAGTTTAACCATTTTAACACACATATATGTCAAGTCTCAGAGTTGTGCATTATTTTTTAAATGTAAGTATATTTAATCTTTCTACCCACTTTTCTATTCATATTCAGTTGTTATTGTTTGACCTGTATATCAATACATGTTTATTTAAAGATGTAATTTGTTTATTTTCTTGTGAAAGGGTCACTTTGATATAGTGTTACGCAAATAGTTTCAGTAAATATATATTATCAAAGTGTTACAGAATTAAAATGAACAGTGTGCTTCAGCTGAATGTCAGTGTATTTATTTCTGCTGCAAGAACATCAATGGCATCTTACAAAGTTCCGACCTATTTCAAGTCTTTAAATGAAAGGTTACATAAAAATATTCTCTTTAAATCTTGTTAATCCAACTTTAATAGATTCCCACAAAAGAGCTATGCCCAATTGCCAGGAATTTCTGGTATTCTGTTTGTTGTGGTCTCAATAAATTGCTTTCTAAGTAATATAATATGTGTCAATGTTGATTGTTGTTTTATAGTATCAAGTGCCGATAAATGAAAGTTAAAATGTAATATCAATGCACCCACTTTGTTGGTCACCTCAGTATTCTAGAGTCCAATAATAATTGTGGTTACTTTCCCATACCACCTATTTTTAATTAATTAGATTGAAATGAAATTTAAACCCAGCCTCATGTATACATCTTAGTGGAAGCTATTGCATATTCTTTGTTTAACAACAAGCTCCTGTGTCTCCTATGGGACTATTTGTGAGACATTTGGTCAAATGATGCCACTTCCTGCAGAATCAGCTCTATAATGTTTGCAGGAACAAACATCCAAGAAAACAAGTATTGTAAAACACATGAGGATCAATAAATCATCAACATCTCTCAGAGGTAAAGTTGACTTGCTTTTACTGCTTACAAACAACACAATGATGGTGAGTGTGGAAACAAATGTTGTGTATTTTGCTTTCTAAATGATGCTCAGAGCTTAGGAGAGGAACATTTGCTGTGCAAATGAGGATGTATACACATTATGTTAGAGGTTAGGTCAAATGTTCTGTAAACATATTAAATGCTTATAGCTTCATTTAGAAATGGTGACGCCTAAAGTACATGTGCATAACAAAGGGAGCAGGGGTGGCCTGAATCAAAACCTTCCCTTCATCCAATCTCTCATTGGTGTTTCCTCTGCATGCTGTCTGCCATATGATGTATGCTTTTGTCTAAGGACCAGGGAGTTTTCCCTATTTTTGCATAAGTCCTGATACATTGCCAGACTTACCACAGCTGAATCGTTGATGTATTTTCTAGGGAAATCCTTAAGTTCCTTAACACCTACCATGTCAGTTTATATTGTCAGGTCCATCTTGCAGCTTTGCCTTTGACTAGAGTGACTCAAGTCTTCAACTGTAAGTACTGAATATCAGAATATATGTTATTTGTATAATTTTTTCAAAATGTAGTAATGATAGCTGAATCTAAGACAAGTATTTGTACATATCATAACATACTATGATACAAGTAGAGCATAGTATTTGGACAAGTGACAAATATTATTGTTCCTTCTTAACCTGATTTTAAAGTCTAAAATAACATTAAAGCCTTACTTGAGAATTTGTTTTCAGAATGTCTGTTATTTATACTTTTTTTTAATTCTATTTTTAAGTGAGTGTTAAAATATTAGGGAAAATGTATATACTGTATAAGTTAAATACATTACAAATTAAAAAAGTTTGTGATAAAGGATTGGTTGAAAACAAATGTATTTACACAACCATGTAGTAAACACCACCCTTTTCTTTGCTTAGCCTGCAGCTCTGACTTGGATAAGTGCCGGATAGTGGATCCTCTCTTTGACAGTAAGCAGCAGAGTGAGTGGAGAAAACAGAATAACAAGCTAACTCAGATAAATGATTTGCTATTAAATGATTTCTCTGTGACAGTAATTAAATTACAAAAATTGTCAATGGTTTAAATTATTTTGCACTTATTCAGATGGACAGTGTGTTTAAAATGCATGATGCATAGCCTACATGAAGACGATATTAAATACCCGCTACTACAATTTATTTTAAACTTTTCCATTCTCCTCAGGTGCAGAGATGACATGGAATCAAGAAACTCACAATGTGTCGGAGTGTGAAAGCTTTCCTAACAACCACGATGTGGTCACAGCGCTTTACTTTTTGATGTTCCCCTTAGCTTTGTTGCTGAATGGTGTGGCAGCCTGGGTGTCTCTGCACCTCAAGTCCACCTCTAACTTTGTGGTGTATCTGAAGAATCTGGTGGCTGCTGACATTATTATGACTTTAATCATGCCAATCAAAGCTGCACGAGACTTGCAGGATGTGCCGAAAACATTATACATTCTCTCATGTTATCTCAGTGCTGTTTTCTACAGTGCACTGTACGTCTGTGTCGCTTTTCTGGGTTGTATCAGTCTGGACCGTTTCTTCAAGATCATGACACCTAACAGCAAGTTGTTTAGTAAGAATCTGATCTTCAGCAAAGTTTTATCAGGCTTAATTTGGGTAACAGTTTTTGGATGCACAGCTTTACCAAATATATGTTTTAGTAAATTGGTGACCAATATGACAGAGATCAGCTCTTGTATGATACTGAAAGAACCGGTTGGACTTAAAATCCATGAAGTGATTGTGATCTTCCAGAATGCTTTCTTCTGGATTGTCAGTGTGGTCCTTGCTGTTTGCTACATCTCCATTGCAAACAAGGTAATCCAGTCTTTTCGGAACTCTGGCAGCAGCAACAACCAGGGACAGAAGAAGATCAAACTCCGTGTATTTCTAGTTGTTGTTGTGTTTTTTGTGTCATTTGGACCATACCATATTGTAAGGATCCCTTACACTTTCCAACAAGTTAACTATTCTTCTTTTACCGGCTGCAATATTTTAAGCAGCACATTTACCAAGGAAATCAGCCTCTGGCTTGCCAGCACAAACATCTGCATGGTCCCAATTCTCTATATCTTTCTGTGTCGGGAGTTCAAGGAGAAACTGGTTTCTATGATAAAAAATGTGTCCATCTCATTCAAAGCCTCAGCAGACAAAGCTAAAGGCATTACACCACAAAGGTCATGAACATGCTTTTTTAAGATCTGGGCTCAGAAAGATCAAGATATTGTTTCAAACATGTGCATTTAGTGTTGACGTTGTGGTGTGAGGTTTTGTGTCTTGTCAGTGTGCCGCTCTAAATAGCGAGAAAAACATTTACAGGAAATACAATAAGGTTGGATGAGATAAACAGTATGAAACAATAGGGTGTTGTTATTATGATGGTTTTTTTTAATGTCACAGTTTTGTATTGTGTCTGGAAGTTTAAACCATTAGGTGAATAGAGTTTTAAAAGAGAGACTGTAAATGAGGATTCCATGCAAAGCAAGTTAGAAAAAGAAAGTTAACATTTGCTTCTCAAACTGAAGACCTAAAATGTTTGTGGTGACAGTAAAAATAGGTCATGTATTTTATACGTTTATTCAGATGTGCAATGTGTCCATTGGCCGGGTTGCTTGGCAGCATGTTAATAAGCGCAACATGAAAGGTTATTGCAAATAATACATTTGTTTTATTTATGTATATTAAGAGTGAATAATAAAGCATGCTGTAAATCTTAAGAGTTGTTGTAATCGTTCCTTAATAAACATCACACTGAGGTGCGATTCTGCTCAGTACTATAACCCTTTTCCCATTAAATACAATTATTTCAGTTGAGCTAACTTTTTCAACCACTGAACAGACCCTACAGGGTTTGCTGAGTTTTACATTCTGCAACAGAAACCAGGCTGCAGGGAAATGTGGTAATATGGAAATTCTTTCTTGACAGTGTGATTTTTACTAAAAGATGATGTGACCTGATCATTTTGATTATGTATTACAGCAGGTCAATTGTGAGTTCACTTCAGGAACTACAGTTAAAGAAAAATGTCTGTGACTTCTCAGCAAATGCTATCCCCTCTGACATTATTTCTGGCAGAGATCTGAGCATAATCTCACGGGAAATCATGTTGTGTTCTCAAAATGCACAATTGTTATCAAGACAGCACTAATGGAATCGTAGAAAGCAGATATGCTATCTCAAAAACAGGCTTACAGATGTATGAAAATGTGGTCTTAGTAGTAAATAAAAGAAAAACTATACAATTACACAAGTACATACAAAAAAAACTATTTGTAAATGTGTTGCCGCTTCTGCCTTGGTATAGCTTGCATTTATTGTAAATGAGTTTAAGGAAACCATGCAACCACAATTTTATGAGAAGTCAGCAGCACAATATTCACATCTCTTGTTTTGCTTATGTCTCTGTGGTTAGGCACAGTGTCACAATAAGAGAATAAAAAAATAAACGGCAGGATAGAGGAGGGGCAGTGTGGTGCAGGAGGTCTCTAGATGTGTGTCGAGAAATGAGTCCATGGCTTTGGTGTTTGCCTGTTAATAGCCAGCCTGACGCAAGCTAGCGGAGGCAGGGGGACTGGCACGGAGCAGAACAAGCCTCTCAGCAGACAATTGGAACAGGAAGCAAGGAAGGAAAGGGTCTTTCACCCGGAGGAAGACTGGCAAACTCCTTGGGATTGTGACAAGACAGCCACACAGTAACTCCAGAGACCACCCATTGTAAGAGCATCAAACACACACACACACACACACACACACACACACACACACACACACACACACACACACACACACACACTTAAAGACAGCAAGAGAGAAATACTGAGGAAGCAGAGCAGCTTAAACTTCTTTATGTCAGAAGTACTATTTCTTAATAGATTCAATATTTTAGAATTTCAATCAGCAATTTGGGGTTTTCTTTTGTTACATTTCCTTCCTGTACTGTAGGTAAGAAGAGGAAAGCGGAATAGGATATTTCACTTGTTCCTTTTTTTAAGCACTGCCGTTTTTCATTGCTTCATTGACACAGTAAGAAGGTAAGACTCAATTATTGGCTTTACAAGTTCCTCTCCTAGATTACCAGTCTTAACTGGGAAAAGGATATATATAATTGTTGTAACAGAGCTTATTAACATTAGCATTTACACTTACATGTTTAGAGTATATCTTGGTTGCCATAGTATTTAGTGTAATTCTAAACTGTTAAGGGTTTCGTAAATATACTGTCAGTCGGAAAACAATGCAGAATGAACAAATGCAAAGGTCTGTTGCCTAAATCATGTATATTTGGTGTATCTGTACTCCTACTGTTCATTTTAGTTTGCATTATTACTAGTAGGAACTGACAGAACTATTAGCTCTACTTGGTAACCCCTATTCTAAATATTTTTGTTTTAATACAGCGGTGACCCTGGGTTTAGTTTATTTCTGGAAAAAAAGTATTTATTTGTTCCTGAAAGGGTCAGATTGAACTTTACTTGGTGAATTAAGATAAAAAGAACTACATTTTCAGAATTAAGCCGTAAAAGATATAAAAGAAAGAGAAACATTTATCATAAAAGGTAATTCAGCTACAGTTCTTTCTAGGACAAGCTCTAAGAGGAAATGGCATGTTTGTATTTTCTGAAAAACAAATATTACACTGTTCCTCTTTAGAAAAAAATATTTATGTGACTCAATTGAGTATTTTATGATGTAACAATCTTACTTTCGTTTTATCTTCTCTCCTCTGCTCTCAGAAGGTGTAGCGAAGATCTGAAGATGAACAACACCCTGTCAAACACTTCTATGAAGTGTGTTCGGGATACCAGTGTGACAGCTGTGGTGTTCCCCTGTCTCTACAGCATCTTATTTATAGTTGCCCTGATACTGAATTCCCTGGCTGCATGGATCTTCTTCAGCATCCCCAGCTCCTCAACATTTGTGGTCTTTCTAAAAAATGTGGTAAGACTCAAAAGGCTTTTGCTTAATATAGTTTGTCTACGCCGTTCAAAAAAACAAAAAACACAACCCTCCTTTATTACCAGGTCGTGGCTGACTTGCTGATGACCCTGACCATCCCTCTGAGAGTCTTAAGTGATGCTGGTGTGGGTTCCTTATATCTACGCGCCTTCCACTGCAGATACTCTGCAGTTCTCTTCTACATCACCATGTACATCAGCATCCTCTTGCTAGGCCTCATCAGCCTGGACCGCTACCTGAAGATAGTCAGGCCATTTGGGAAGTGTGCCCTGCAGCGGGTTCGTGTTGGTCAGCTGCTGAGTGCAGCTGTCTGGGTGGTCATGCTAGCGTTAGCATTACCCAACGTTATTCTAAGTGACCAGCCTCCACGCGGCCCTGGAGGCAGACTGAAGTGCACCTCTATGAAGAGCAACGCTGGTATGCTCTGGCATGCAGGATTCAACTACTTCTGTCAGGTAGCTATAAAGTAGAGGAATACTACTAAACTTTTTTAAAGTATGATTTTTGTATAGATGTCAAGATGTTAAGTGCGATTTAGAGGTATAGGTATCTAGATGTTCTTATTGGACAGAGTCAAGCTGTTTTTAACCGTTGTGCTAACCCAGGGGTCGGCAACCCGCGGCTCTCGAGCCGCCTTGAGTTTAGACAAAAATAAGAAGGAAATCAAATACAAATATTTGTAGGACTATTTATATTTTGTAGCACGGTTAAAAATGTTTCGTATCTTGTATTTTGAGGTGATACTGTGACCATAGACTGTGACACATACCATTTTTTTTTAAAAACGGTTTTAATTCGGTCAACTCAAATATGCGTCACATCCTGCTACGGACCCGCACCAGCGCCTTTTCTTGCAGGCGAATAACCTGACCCCCGGCTCGATGAGCGAACTATTGATAAATCAAAGAAAATAAAAGTATTGGAGGGACACAGAGGGTTTAATTCTGGTGGTTAGAGTTATGCTTTCACAGCAAACAATGCTGGCTTACCGGTATATTTGATATGTGGAGAGAAGTTGTCAAAGGTGCTGCAGCCTTTACGTATTGGAGGAAAAACACGGAAGAGGAAGACAGCTGACGATCTTCAGTCATAATTCAATCAGTTAACTATTTTTAGGGTGCAGCTATATGTTTTATTTATTTCAAAGTGGGCCCATTTCAATTATTTTCATTTTCTTCAAATGTGCAGAGGACTCCAAGTGCTGTGTTGATTTATTAGTAGGCCTGTGTATTTTTTTTAATTCTCCTATAAGAGTTCTTTGTTTAGAGGTAGGCCAAGGCAAGGCAAGTTTATTTATATAGCACCTTTCAACACAAGGCAATTCAAGGTGCTTTACAAAAATGAAAGACATTCAGACAAAGGCATTTAAAAACAGTCATTACTGTAGGCCTAAACAGTTTTCTATAATGTAATAAATAATAAATGCAAAAAAAATGTAGTTTTTGTCTGATGTAACAATATATACAACTTTATAAGCTATCAAATATGTTTTGCGGCTCCAGACAAAAAACATTGGTGAAAAAGGGGGCAAAATGGCTCTTTTGGTCAAAAAGGTTGCAGACCCCTGTGTTAACCTAAGCTAGAAGCAGCTTCATAATTTGCAGCACTGACATGATATACATTTTTTTCTCATCTAACTTCCACCAATGTTGCAAATAAGCCTTTTTTCACAAATGTCGAACTATAACTTTAACAAATCAGCTGTTATATAATAACATTTTAATTTAGTGCACATTTATTGGTATGCTGACATTTCAACTGACCTTTGATATACAGCTCATCAAAATTAGTCGTGAGAAAAGCTGTGAGAAGTGCTTTTGCTGCGCTTAATGTTTTGTCTATGTTTGCTTCCAGGTGGTTTTTTGGGGCACGCTGGCATTGATGGTGGTTTGCTACACGTTAATCAGCAAGAAGGTTTATGAGTCCTACAAAGCCTCAAAGTGCAGATCTCAAGCAGCCAGTCGCAGAACCAAGGCAAAGGTGTATGTGGTGGTTGGGGTTTTCTTCATCTGCTTTGCCCCCTTTCACTTTGCCCGTGTCCCCTACACTCTCACCCAAACGGGCAGCATGGCGAATCATTGCAAGGCACAGCAGGCTCTCTACATTGCAAAGGAAACCACCCTGTGGCTGTCGGCCACCAATGTGTGTTTAGACCCGCTTATCTATGTGTTCCTGTGTAAAGTGTTTCGGAGAAGACTGACAGCCGCACTCTGCCGTAGGCCGTTCAACAAAGGTGCCATGGAGTCACCAACGGCAACATCAACTCAACTGGAGATGTCACAAATGGCCCCAAGTAAAAGACTGTCATATAATGGGGTCCCACAGTAACAGGCTGGACAATGTACAATGGGAAATTAATAATGATGAGATTACTGTGTGAATTGCTTTTCAACATGTAAATAGCATTTTATCTTGATGACAACAGTCGTCAAACATTTTTTAAATGAATGCAAGGTGATCACAATCTGTTGAATATTCAATGCTTTGTAACAGGAAAGGGTCTGGTATGACGGGTGAAATGTTCTCACAAACAAGGCTATTTTTGATACAGTACTAACCAAGCACTTCTTTCTCGGTTTGCTAAGTCATACAAAACGTTTCCTTAATTGTGTTCCCTGTAATTTTCTACTTCCTTCTGTACCCTTATCTCATGTAAACTGCACTTTCCCTTCACGGACATTTTGGCGAAAGGCTAATCATCTTGACAGCACATATTCTCCAATGACACACACAATGTAAACAGTGACCAAATGATAACAAAATAAGGACTGCAATAGACACTGCTTACAGCTATAACTTCTGTGCAATATGAATAATAATAATAATAATAACATAATAAAAATAATATTTTTGTATAAAGAAAAATTGCATGGGGTGTTTATACTAACTAGATTAGGTGTTTAAAACCAGGTGAATGTACAGTTCTAATTAAATCTAGGACAAATAACTAGGAAAGTGATCACTTCATACACAGCAAACTAAGGTGGCTGCGCAACAAAGGCAGCAAATAACATAAAATGATAAAACCATCTAAACTTAGTTCCTCTACCCAAGGGGCGCTGACACAGATGTTCATCATATATAGTTCACAACACTCTGACGCTATTATATAAATTACCATCACATCAAAAATGAAAGGAATGCTTATTGATTTGTGTTTAGATGTGGTTTATTTGTGGTATCTTACCCTGAGATAATTATGATTTTTTATTTCCCATGGTGCTGATCAAAATATGAGGCACTTTTTATTAGTGTGCACAACCAAAACTACTAACCGATATTAATCTGTAAAAACTCTGCAGTCAGGCACTGCACCATTTAATTTTGCACTGAGCAAGAGGAGCAAAGAGTAAATAGAACTGGAATAAATAGATTTTTTCCAGCAATGCAACACCCTAAAGATGGGTTTCAGGACATTCACAGACTGGTCTGCAGGATTAATGAAACCTTGCACCTGATTTACAATTGTGTCTGCATGTGGGTCTGATCAATGTATTAATGAAATATGATCCTCCTCCATTCCCACCGTCTGTCGGCTTTGACAGTAGCTGATATTTGGGCAGGAAATGTATGAGCTACAAAGCGGTAAGAGCTATACTGCAGCCAGGAAAAAGACTGTTTGTCACCCTCAGATTAAATCCTCTGACAGATGACCCTGCAGTAGTGAATTATGAGAATTTCTAAATGAGATTCATGGAAATTAAATAAACCCTGCAGATAATGTTGCCTGGAGCAGAGGCACACGCTGGAGACAGAAGAGAACCAGATAAATAGGAGGTAGGTCGTTGTGGGGGCTTGCAGTTTCTTGATGCAACAATGTGTAACAGCTTGCTGTCAGAGCAACCTGTCAAGTCTTCATGTCAGTGATGCCAATCATCAGAAGCTTATAAACTGGTTCTTGTCAAGAATTCCATGATAAATGGTTTATATGCAACTTACAGTATCAAAGCTTAGGTTTAGGATTTAGGTAAAACAAGTCATTTTGACACATTGTTCAATTGATCGAATTCTAACTGAGTAAAATGAAATAAATGTTTGAGGCTTACCTCACTGTTCCAAAGCAAACACTAAAGTAAAAAAGATAAGTACTTTTTAAAAGATTATGGCCAATGGGTACACAAATTTAACTCCACTTTAAAACAGAGCTAGAACTCAACAACATGCAAAAACAAAGGTGACCTTAACTTTGAAATGTGTAAAGGCAAAGAAGAGAGATAAGCCTTTCTGAGGTCTTCCTTCAAATATGCAATCATCAATTTTGGCCACTTAAGGACACAATTATTTCCCAAAAACTGCCAGACACAGCCTCAAAACTGCATTGCCCAAACAGTGCAACAAAGAAGGGGAAAAGGCTAGCTACTTGTCTGTTGGTTGTTGATGGCAGGGCCGTTTCTTCCTATAGGCGGACTATGCAGATGCATAGAGCCCCTGCGGCCACTAGGGGGCCCCCAAGCTGAAAGTTCAGGTTCAGCCTCAATATATTTGGGAAGAATTAAAATTAGCCGTCTTTATTTGTAGACAGCCAAGCCCCCTCCTGTGTTCGGTGAAGCATTATATGCTTAAAAATCATCATAATCATCATCTAGCTTTAAAATATGGTAGTGAAATAGGCTAAAGGTTAGTGTAAGTCTAAGGTCAGTAGCCTACAATTTGATGTCTGCCTCTAATAAAGTCCTGTTTCTTTATGTCTCAAAAGAATAGTTAAACAAAGTTTGTATCAAGATTAAACATAAAACAAATAAACTAACACCTTTTTAACACTTTTCTCATAATTAGGAGATAAAGTGCATTTTATGCTTTCTCATGGTATTTTTAAACTCATTATTTATGTGGATACAGTCCTATGTGTACAGTAATGCATTTAAACTCTTTTATGTGATTGGCATACTACTAACCGTACGCATAGGGTCATCACTGCCGCTGACGCTTTAAACAGTTTGTGTTGACATCGAAACAAGTCTCTCCCTGCGCGCTCCCGCGAGGTGCTTGTGCTTCTCGGCAGGCACGAGCGTGTGGTTAGCTCTACAAGCTAAAAGCGGCTTCAAGGCTAATGCCACGTGACATTCGTGCCAGGTCATGTGATCGATTATACATCCTCCTTGCTGCCTTCAACTTTTCCCTCAGCAAATCCCAAACAAACGAACATGGCGGATTATGAGGAGCGGCAGAGCCTGCAGGGAGATGAGGCCGAGGGCAGACAGGCGGCCGGGGGACCGGGCAGACCCCTGCCGGCCATCTGCGACCCCGGACACCTGCTGCACCGAGTGGTGGTCCTGGTATTCATGTGCTTCTTGGGATTTGGTGAGCATTCAAAAGCCCCACTTCCCTAAACACTCGTAATTGTTACTTTGTGACTGAGTTGATGAGCAACATTCAGGAAAAATAAAGCTTTGTTGTGTTGCTCATGTGACGTTCATTAAATGCGTTGTCATTGTGTGTACAGTAAGTGAATGTAGTTAATTCGTTCCAGGAAGCTACTTCTGTTATGATAACCCAGCTGCACTTCAAACTCAAGTCATCCAGGTAATTCACCCTCAGAGCTTTACATCATGTTATATCCTTAATGGAACATTTATGAACATTAATCCTACTCCTGAATGTTGATATTAGATTGTTTTATTTGTCCACTCCACACGTCTGTATTTACACCTAGACTTTAATGTTTAAACCACAACAGTTGAGGACAATACTCTGATTTAACCTTCCTGACTGTGCTAGGATTTGGATCTGAACACTGCTAAGTTCATGCAGCTGTATGCCTGGTACTCCTGGCCCAATGTGGTTCTCTGCTTCTTCGGGGGGTTCCTGCTCGATAGGGTTTTTGGCATCAGGTACAAAGACTGACACCTTATATCATTGTACTATTTATAAGTCCAGTATGTCACCGAAAGTGAAAGTGAAAGAGTTGCGTAGCCTTTTTGCTTTTCAATATTTTTTTGTTGCTTTTTTACAGGCTGGGAACCATCATCTTTTCCCTATTTGTCTGTGTTGGACAGGTAAGGTTACTTTGCTATCTAAATGTAATAGTTATTCTATGAAATACAGAATATATGTTCCTAAAATTATGTGGTTTAAAAAAAATGATATATCTAAATATGAATCAACAGATATTAATTTCGTATGTTGTTTTTTAACTTTTCAACTTTGCAGGTAATATTTGCTACTGGAGCTTTGCTGAATCGCTTCTGGCTCATGGAAGCTGGACGTTTTGTATTTGGGTGGGCAAACTATTTTGCAACATCTTTATATACCAGTGTCCAGTTCTCTGTATCCTTATGCATGAGGGCGACTTTTCCGCAGCCAGATATCAACATATCCGATATTACAGCCCTTCAACACTGAAGACAAATATTAGGATCAGCTTGGTCATGTACTATCATTCGGCTTACACGCTCCACCTCTCTGTTTTATTTCCTGGTCAGTATTGGAGGAGAGTCCCTGGCTGTGGCCCAGAACACCTATGCAGTGAATTGGTTCAAAGGAAAGGAGCTGAATCTAGTGTTTGGCCTTCAGCTCAGCATGGCACGTGTGGTAAGGGAACACAACGTGATCATTGTTTTCAAATAACATTTGTTTTGACTGTAGCCAAGGTCACTGAACCCACTTTATAGAAATCCATGTTTTTGATAGTAAATGAACGTCTATAGTCCATTCATGTTCCTCTCTACTCGTCTTAAGGGCAGCACAGTAAACATGAACATCATGGGCTGGGTGTACAGCAGAGCCGTCGCCCTCGTTGGCGCTCCTGGACACACCGCACTCGGCGCTTCACTCATGATCGGTAACTATCATGAATTTCCACTTTTGCCAGGCGTACATTTCTCATTCGAGATCAAGGCTTGAAATTGTCAGGTGTTAAACATGAAGAGTCCTGTTACGAGCGCTTTGTCTGTGTCTCTGCTAAAGATACTAGATCCTCTCTCTGTAACTAATGATCTCAGATAACACACAGAGCAGAGACAGAGAGAAGTGGTTTAGAGAACTAAAAGTGCTGCTGGCTGGCTGTTCCAGATGAGTCACATGAGTTAGAAGAAGTGTCACTTTTTATCATTACTTAAAGTGCTTTTACTATTGCACACCTTGCAGTTGTGTTTCATTTTATAATCTGTCTCCACTGCCACTGACAATTTGAGATGAATTCACATGGACAAAAGAATCAATCAGCCTTCCCCATAACTTAAATTCCTTGATAATCTAATCGCCAACATAAAACTTGAATTTACATTGCTTTAATTTCTCTTGTCACTCCTCCATATGAATTCATGTCTATAATTGTATTTGTCTATGTTCAGCTGGTGTGACCTGCCTGTTTTCACTCACCTGTGCCTTGGTGTTGGGATTCCTTGACAAAAGAGCAGAGAAGATCCTCAACAAGGAACAAGGCAAAACAGGTAATCTATTCCAAGATTGTGTTTTGTTTATCTTTTGTTTTTCCTCTTTGGCCTCCTCTGTCAATATTTACTAGTAAAGTCAGTGTTGACAATGAAATAGTGTTTTGTTTTTGCTGTTATCTATTTAAAATTGACGTTCTGGCCAGAAAGTTCATTGGCTTCAGCACTTTCTCTGCTGTGATGTGGCTTTCTTTGTAAAAACAGTTCAATGAATGTGTGTTATTTTTCCTCTTGGAACTAACTGTATACTTTATCAGACAAGCCTTTCCAACTGTTGCATGTGTGTTAATCTTGCATATTAGGCGAAGTGATCAAGTTGACTGACGTGAAAGACTTCCCCTTAACCCTGTGGCTCATCTTCATCATTTGCGTTTGCTACTATGTCGCCATTTTCCCCTTTATTGGACTGGGACAGTGAGTATTTCATCAGTTTCTTTTACACACACAATTGAGAGATACTATAATAACTCCTAACTCTGAAAACGGGGACATTGTACGCTAAAATTATGGAGCGGTAGTTTTTTAATGTAATGCTTGAAGAACAGTGTTTAACATTCCTTGTCCTTTGTTAAATACAAATATAAATCACCTCAATATGGTAGGCCTACTGTGTTTAAGTGGCATGGCATGAATTCAATGGAGAAACGCTATGAAATCAGGACAGTGCCTGATCACAGCTTTAACACTGCAACCTCACAATGCTGTGTTGTCATCGAACCACAAATGGATGGAGCGAGAGTCAGAAATGGAAAGAGGTTTGACAAATGGGTTTGCGGTGAAAAAAAACAATTGAGGATATTACAATCTACATGTCCTTCTTTGAAAGGCACTCTGAAATCACTTAGCAACTGACATGGGTTTTCTATCGAGTGTTTGTGCTTACAAAGCAAATACTTGTTATGCAAATATGGCAGAAAACAATGAATAGAAGACAGAGACCTACCTGCTGCAAAACTCCATTTCTCCTCCTTTTGTCGTCACATCAATATAAAGGTTGAGCAGCTCTCCGTACTGTGAGCCCAACATCTTGTCTTTTTATTTACAGGGTGTTCTTCATTGAAAAATTTGACTTCTCACCAGCTGAAGCCAGAGCCGTCAACAGGTAACTCGGATCAGGTGTAATAGCCCTTTTCAAACAATCCACTATAGTCTGCTGATTCTGATTTATTTTGCATTTAATTCCTGGCCTGTATTTTCTTTGATCCAACGGACAGCTGGACAATTTACATTTCCATCTGAGAAATGTTCAGCTCCCTGAAACTGGGAATGAAGAATACTTTGAAAATGTCATATTACAAAAAAGGCACCTCACACATAAATACTGACTTCAGCACATATTTTCTGAACTCAAATTTCTGTTGCTAAGCAGCCTAAACTTGGATTTGCCTTGGTTCTAGTCATAACAAATGAATATCCTTCTCTATTTTCCCCCAGTATTGTGTACATCATCTCAGCCCCTGCATCTCCAGTTCTAGGCTTCATGGTGGATAGGATAGGCAAGAATGTGATTTGGGTAATGGTTGCTGTGATCGCCACACTCGCCGCTCACATGATGCTGGCCTTTACCTTCTGGAACCCATGGATCGCCATGGTAAGGCCCCTTGAAAAAATGTTGTACCTGTACCCCAACAACATTGGATTTTTTACATTAAGAAAGAGTGGTCGGGTTAGTTGTATGAAGGAATGGCACTGTCAGTAATCGTACATTCGCTGCGCCTGTTAAGAGATGTGAGTCACAGTGGGTGCGGATACAAGTTCTTAAACTTAAAGTGGTTGACATGTGTTCCTACTTAAAGTTGCAAACTCTTGATTGATTTTTCTTTGTGGAGACACATTTTGTGTTTTTAATGGTGAGGTGAACTTGCAGCCTGAGGTGGTAAAAATAATAGAAGTTGGCGTATAAATAAATTAAAACACAGATTGTATTTTTATTTAATTTTAAAACTATTTTCTTAAGAACTGAATCAACAGATATTTCTATTGCACTACTTCTATATTTCAAGAACTGTTTGTAAAGTGCATATTGTCATACCATGTTATTATACAATATACAAGCTCTTTTAGGCAGTATATTATACCCAGGTTCTCTGTGGAGAGCCCTGTATTATTAAAAGTAATCACAGCTGTGTGTCCTCTATTTCCCAGTCCCTCCTGGGTCTCTCCTACTCCTTACTGGCCTGTGCACTGTGGCCCATGGTGGCCTTTGTGGTACCAGAGCATCAGCTGGGGACAGCCTATGGCTTGTATGTAACTGCAATGGCTATATTATGACCAATCACATACATTTTCACAGTTGAAACAAACCAATATGACTGATAATTGTTGTTATTTTAATTCAAACTGATGTTGATCTTCTGCCTTCGTCCCTCAGCATGCAGTCTATCCAGAACCTGGGACTGGCTCTCGTTGCCATGGCAGCAGGAGCTATCCTAGACAATCAAGGATACCTGTTTTTAGAAGTGTTTTTCTGCGTCTGCATCTGCGGTCAGTTATTTTCTGTTTGTGTGTGGACTCCTTTTAGACACTTTTGAGTGACATTGTCAGTGACTTCCCACATTTGCCCCCTTATTTCCTGCAGTTTCACTGATGGCAGTGGTGATGCTGTACTTTGTGGATTATCTTAAAGGTAAGAGAACACTGGAGCTTTGAAATCACTGCTTTACTTCTCCTCTCTGCTCTCTCCCTCTCCGTACTGTCTCAGTTTTCTCCACCAAATATACCGATCATATTCCATTTATCCTATGACATCTCCTCACTTCACCCTGTTACTCGTCAGCACACCCCTCTCCCCACTCACCTCTTAATCTAACCGTCTCCCTCTCTTGCTCCAGGAGGAGATTTGAACATGTCAGCCGCAGGCAGAGCCAGACTCCAGAAAGAAGCCACTTCAGATGCAGAGTGAGTAGTTTTGACCCTTCACACTTCTGTACTGCTTCTGCCGTCTTACCTTCAATTAGACAAGCATCTCAGAAAAGTAAATACTAATCAAGTTACTTATTTAATCAAGGGGCAGAGGCATATTTTGGTACATATGTAATAGAGTGGTGCAGGGATGACGTATTTACCCGGAAGTAAGCTGCGCATGGGTTCCCTCGACAAAAAAGCAATGGGATTTCTCCATAGGATTTGGGAAAATAGCTCGAAATAAGGTCTGTTAAAAACGAACCTGTCTGATAAATGCACGTTTTGTTCAGCCGGATAATATCCACATGTCTACTCTACTTTTATAATTTTTGAATCATAAATCTAATCGCCAGAAGCAAAATGCTAACGTTGTGCTAAAACGAACGACAGCCGAGTACATCAGGGTCGCACGACTTCAACGTCATGTCAACTTAAGATCGATATTAAAAAATACAGATTCAAAATTGTGAAAGTTGAAGCATTTGTTTTAACAGTTTGCAAGAGCGCAGGTACTTGCTTTCAAGCAGAACAGGGGCGGACAAACTCAAAGTGGGAGTGTTTCCGTGTTCGGTGTAATGACGTACAACGTCCTCGACAACTTCTGTAGACCTATTCAGCCACTTGTTAACAACCATCGTTTTTCAGACACGTACACTATTAAAAAATCACCAGTGGGGTCACTGCTGATGTATTTAATGTTGTAGAACAAAACGTGATCCGTGCCATGGAGAAATCCCATTGACTCTGAGACGAGGGAACCAGTAGTGGTAAAATGCTAACTCACTTCCGGGTTTTAGGACTCGTCACTGCACCACTGTACTAATTGGTTTCTAGTTAGAATTTCCAGTTAGCTAAAAAATATATTATTTAACAGGTTATGTATGATTTTCAATGTGATCGGTACAGTCAAGTGATGCTTTTATGGAAATGTTCTTTATTTTACACTCCAAACACATGATTCACATGCAAAGTTGTAGAATCATGCTTTTATTTTTTACTGCATATCCACATCCCCTAGGTTCAATAGTTTTACAAGGTTCAGGAGTTCAAAGATGTGATCAGTCACGTTATCATGGAAATGTTGCCATTCTTGGTTGTTACAGCAAACCTATTTATGGCCTCTCTGAAAATAGGATACAATTTATCAGTTATCAGTGTCAATGTTGACTCATCTATGTGAACACAGACAAAATAAAAAAATAAAATTCCATACATGGTTTTGTCTTAGCTTACATATTTATGGTTCTTCCTAACCTATTAAAAACAAACAATAAACAACAGAATGAAAGCGATGTTAGCAGTATCACTATGCTTTGCTTAAAGCCTTTAATTGCCTTCTTGTTTGGTGGAAAAACACTAATGCGCTTTTTGTATAAGTGCTTATTGAAACAAGACTTTGACGACTGCAACATGATGTTGCAAATGCGTGTTAGTAAGCATAACCAAGTGGGCACATTAATTGAGGTTATGGTTTTTTACTGTCTCACTTTCACAGCACACCAAACGTGCACTACTCGATGCTTGATAAAACAAACCACACGAGATCTCCTGGTGCAACTATACTTTCTGTTCTCACAAGTAGCATGCACTGTAAAACCTGTTGCTTTGGTAAAAATAAAAAATAAATTGTCAAGCGATTCCAAGAAATTTTGTCAACTTTTGCATTTTTTTTTGTTGGTGAAACGTACTTTTTTTTTGTTTTCCTCTACTCAAGAACTTGTTACTTTGCCAAAACTTTTTTTAGATGTGTCAATTATAGGAGTTGGATAAACTCACTAATGTGATTTTTTTTTTTTTGCATGTGAAAAGATGAATTGAGCCTACAATTAAAAGCCAAGATATTAAGTGTAACCAATGCAAATAACAATCTGCTAAGAACCACATAAGACAAGAATAAATAAAGTAAATTATAAAACACAATTGAGTTGCCGGAACCTATATACGACAAACTCTTCCTGATTTCAATCCAACCCTTTAAATATTTGATAGCATTGAAACATTGCAGATTAAACAAATAGATTTAAAAAAAAAGGAATGTTATGGACATGTTAATACATATTATTAAAATTTGATTATTTCAAAACAGTTTTCATAAAACAGTAACAAGTTTGTTTAAAAGCACAACACATTAACATACATGGAGACACATGGTTATTACTTGATGGTTATTCCAACTGCATCTGGCTCGTGGGCAACGTATAACTTCATGCTGTGCATCACGAGCCTCTGTTGCACTTCGACCTCTGCTGTTCCCTGTATACAAACGAAACACTAAATTGATTACAAATCAGGACACACCATGTGTTTTCCTCAACAACAAAAATAAAATCCATCTTGAAATCATAACGGGTACTGCCAGATTACATTAGCTGTTAACAGAGGGTAACTAGGTAACAAGGTGCTATTCACATGCATTACAAGGGGTTTAAGCCATCAAAAAAAAGGCTGGTTTGCAAGAAAATGAACCACATAGGCAAGGCAAGGCAACAATGAAAGACATTCAGACAAAGGCATTTTAAAAACAGTAAAAGATAATAAAAGAAACATTAAAAGAAAAAATATATGAATAAAAAGTACATGAATAAAAAGTTACAGTGCAGTTTAAGATATGAATAGTTCACACAGAAGTTCCACTTTACTGATGAACACAACGGCTCAGTTTCAATTAAAAGCAGCGACAAAAAGATAAGTCTTCAGCCTGGATTTAAAAGTAGTAAGAGTTGTAGCGGACCTGCAGGTTTCATAGTCATGATATTGATATAGTTCATAAAATGTCCAACTTATCAAACATAATTAAAACACAGTGACGAACCGTCAGGCCCTTCAAGGTATTTAGAGAATACCCTGGAACACTCAGATAAAACAAACAAAAAATCGATTTAATTATATAAATAAAATGTATATGTAAAATGAATAAATGAGAATCGTATCTGTGTTGTTGATCTGTAATATTACAGTGTTACATTGATTTGTTTGTCCTTCTCGGTCCATGCACTACGCATTTCAGTGGTTTTGTGTTAGAAAAAAAAAGCAACCAATCAGATCTGTCTCTGGGTAGAATATCCTTCAACCAAGGTATTCTATATCCTTGATAGAATACCCTGGCCGTTGCACTGAATGAGAGCGTACCTTTGGATTGACAGTTTGATCAACCAATCATATATTGATTTGTAGCCAATGGGCGTATTCTTTCAGAGTTTCCCTCGGTTCCAGGGTATTCTAGAAGGCCCGCTAGTTCACTGGCTCGAGACAGAGGATCTAAATAAATGTCACGAAGCAATTCATATGCCGTTTTATTGTTTTTAACGTTGAAATGGCAAGTGCAACAGGTGAAGATGATGTTGTTGCGAATTGTTGGGAGTAGTACCCTTTTCAAGACGACAATTCAGTGAAAAGGCAGACATTATAACGGAGGCGGAGGGGTGCGGCGGAGGGTGTGTGTGTGTGTCTACAGAAGGTCCAGTTGTGATAGACACGGTTTGCCACTGTTAAAACATAAGTATCATTTAAAATGGTATTGTATTTATATAAATTGTTAAGGATGGTATTTATTAAGGATGGTATTGGTAGATACCAGTAAAATTCCATGATTCTCAACACAGCGGATCCTAATTACTTCAATATACACTCCTTTATCTCGTTTGCATACCGTCTAATATCTACTTTATATTGTAGTAAAACATCTCCTTAATACAACAGTATTTATTGATATTTCTCGCTAAAGACTGCATTTTACTGGACTACATTGAACACATCTTGCCGACGTTATAAATGCATCTTCGCCCAATACACACTTTTATTGAATTGCGCCTGAATGCACCTTAACTGAAGTCAATGGCACCTCCGTCACTGGCTACTGAGAGCTAACGTTAACTCTCCTGCAGATTCAAACATGGATTTGCATCTATAGCGTTACATAAGCATGAAAAATATAGTTTGCACTTCATATTGTATAATAACAACTGGATGCTGTAACTGCAGACCATGAGTTTAAATTGGGTATACATCAAGATTGTAGAAAGATAATTCATTGCTCACAGTAAAACAAACGGTGAAATGCATACAGAGGAATTCATATAAAATAGGCGCATTAGGCTCAGTCAGTAGGGGATTGGACTGTGAGCCGTAGGGTCGCCGGTTCAAGTCCCCGACCAGACCTAAAAATGGAGTGTAGACTGCTACTTGGAGAGGTCCCAGTTCACCTCATGCCCTGCCGTGGTGCCCTTGAGCAAGGCACCGGACAACCCCCTTCCCCCCTCACTCCCATTGCTCCCCGGGCGCTGTGCAATAGCTGCCCACTGCTCCTAGTAGCCTACTAGACTCCTGGTACTAGGATGGGTTAAAAGCAGAGAACAAATTTCACTGTGTGCAGTGTGCTCTGCATGTGTGACCACCATTAAAGAGGGTTTCATCCCTCCCAATATTATATTATAGTAACTTATTCTTACATAACCGCTGGGTTATAAAGTAGTAGGGAATAGTTTTTGCGGAGGTATTTTACCGCACAACATGCTCGGCACCAGAGCCTCTGAGCCCCGTGACCGCATGACGGTGCCCGGCCAACGCTTACGGCCCGTCCACACTACAGCTTAAAAAAAAGCTTGGAGCTGGGCGTGTCTGATGCTCGACCAACAACCAATCACATGAATCCCTGACACACAAGCAGCGGTTTGATTGGCTAGAGCTTGTACTGGCATATGATTTGATTGGCTGACGCTTCCACGAAAGCTTCAGAAGCTTCAAAAGTTGAACATTGCTCTACTTTTGCAGCCTGAAACGCCAGGAAAGCTCCGCTCTGCTTCCCACAATGCAGTTCGGCGAAAAGTGACGTCACCCCATTCAAAGTGAATGGGCAGACGCGTTGGAAACCGTTTTTGAAGCTGTCGAAGCTGTAGTGTGGACGGGCCGTTAGAGCGGCACAGGTGAAAGGTTTGCCGAGTCGATTCTTAATACATACTCTTAACTTAACCACTTTGAACAGAATTGTGTCTGTAAGCACTTGATGCAAACTTTGCCCAACACCATTTGCGCAAAAAAATAGACTACATGAGCATGACAGGGCTGAGTCTAACTTTAACAGCAGTAATGGCGCTGGCATGTCGATGTTCCGTTCGAAACGGTGAATACAAGAAAAGTAAATAACACTTGCTAGTTAAAAAGCAGTAATTAATAACTCAGGTGGTATGCTTAATTGTTTTACGATGATTTGAAGTAGTTCAGAAGCAAGCACATGTACAGCTGCCGAATAATCGCTGTAAAGAGGAACAGGAAGCCTCACACCGCGGTATTCTCGTTTGAGGGCGTGTCATGACCGTGGTGTTGACAAAAGCATTTTTATGAAGTTTTCCAAAACGTATTTATAAGAAGGTTAAAAAAATGTGAACATTAATTTATAAATTAATGAGTTCTTAAAACATGTTCTCATTGTTACTTAAGTGTTACTTAGTTAAACGCACATTGATTTTTTATTTATTTAGGGCAAGTAAATTACGATAGAGAATAGAGTTTTATTGACTTCAACATCGGAACCGTTTTTACAGTGAAACGTCCCAGAGATAAGATCTGTGTCTGCCATACCGCCATCTATTTTTCTCTCTCTCTATCTATGCATTTATTTATCTGTTTAATCTATTTACATATTTTCTTATTGTGAAAACGCAGACTAATATTTTCTGGTCCGTTCTGTGACTGATATTTTCCAGATGATGATGATGATGATGATGATGATGATGATGATGAGGGAACACTGGGCTAGTCCTGGGCTTCAGAGCCAGCAGGCTGCACTGTCCACCCCAGAGCTGTCAATCAACTGCCACGGGGCGGGACTGCACTACTGACTCCGCCCAGTGCTGTCAGCTGTGGCTCTTCCCATCACAACTGACTGTCTGAACAAAACCAACCTTTTATAGCTTATTATGTCCCTACCAGGAGGACCAATGACACGTTTCAGTTTGGCCTCAACAGTTCCTCTCTGACCTCTCACACTGATGTCATATCCTCCACTGACTTGTGTGTGTGTCAAACTTACGGAAAAAGTCAAGATGCTTTGATAGTTTTTTCAAACCCTTTTAAGCAAAAGACAATGATCTATTATATGATAGATCTTTTTAGATTTTATGACATGCTAATTGATCACCCAATATAGGATTTCTATATTCATTCAATTGTTTTAAATGTATATAATGGTAACTTTGTGGATGTTTTCATGTTTTGTTTTTTTACAACTTGTTCTCAGAACAACCCTGTTACTCGCCTTATTTCAGACAACTCAGCAGTTTGTTTATGTACATATCAGTTGTCAGCATTCACAAAAGTTGCCAACCAAAATCCTCCCTTCTGGACTTTCATACTTAATTCTAATCATATGCGTCATCGACCCTTTATAGTTTATAATGTCTAAAAGAGCATAGCTCTTGTTTAAATCTTCAATGTTTAATTATTTGATTCCTAAATTAATTTACCTGCTCTTCACTGGTTTGGAGAGTTCATAAAGATAAATGTTCTGTTGCATCATCAAATATTATATCACTATAATGATCTGAAAGACAATTAAAAGAAAGAGGCTCACTTTCAAGTGCATATACCCATGTATTAATAATTCCCCAGATGTTTAGCTTTTTACAAACTGCTTTTATCCTTGTGACCTATAAAACATGTTTTTAGAAAATGTTGCAACCTTTTCAAGCTCAGGAAACTAAGTGGTATTGGTAAGCAATTGCCCGCAAATCTTTGCTTGCTTCATCTGAACGTTGAGACAAAATGCACTCTGATTAAATCTCATAATTCCAGTAAAGTGGGAAGAGATGTATCCCTGTGTTGGTATCAAGGTCGAAAACTGTGGCGGATAAACAATCACTACCTCAGTTGGGCAAATAAGTCCTCTAATAATTAAGAGTAACTTAACGCCCCCAAAAAATATTGTTATTTTTTTCTTGCATAGTTTGCCTTCTCACTTTGCTGCAGTGATGTAGAAGTGTTTTATAGGGCCTTCCCTTGCAACACATCCTCACTCCCAGGTCGGCCTATGTTGACGTTATGTCAAGTCCCCTGTCGGCTTTTTCCAACGCAAGGGGGGGGGCCTTAGCGTCCATTTTCAACGCAAGGGGGGAGCCCTTAGCGTCCATTTTCAGCTTTCCGGGATGTCCATATGCTTCTATGGACGCTCATGGAAGCACGGCGTTCGTTTGTGTCGACTGCCCTTAAAGGCAATGTGAGCGTCCATTCTCATTGGATAACGGAGAATTGTACACCCGGAAGTAAGTATTCCCCTTACTGTCGATTGATTTTACAGTGATATCTGCACTACTCATCGACTAAAAAACACCAGATTTTCCTTGTTAATTACACAACATTGATTGGTTTAAATTGTGTGCAATGCTTTTGTATTTTTCCCCTTCGATTCGGAGAAACAAATATTTTTTCGGAGTAAAGGATGGCAGAAGACACTACACTACCCAGAATCCCCAGCTATCGTTCGGACTACACCATGTGCTCTGTTTGACAAACCCCGTGATAGTCCTCAAGCTCTGTGATTGGAGAGTGTGCTCCGAGGGTTACGCCGAGCCTCGAACAGCACTTGAAATGGGATGGAATCACGGCAGACTGTCCAAAACTAGATTTGAACGGGTCCACCGCGTCCCCCCCTCCCCCACCCCGTCCCCAGATCTACACATGCTGGCTATTCTGTTTCGCAACATGTTCTCTATCTATGGCACGTCTCTACTGGGAGTTGTAGTTTTAAAAGACGTTTTCGTATTTCCCATAATAAGAAGTTGCCAGTATTAAACTGTGTACATCCCTGGAGGTTTAGGGGGTAGGAAACACTCACATTTAAAACATATAATTAATAAATGGGTAAAAATTGCTTGTGCCCATAATGGGCAGCATTAATATATATATACACACATGCCAGCTAAGGTCAGAAGAGCTTTATTTAACAGCTGGTCTTATGTTTGTGACCCCTGTTGTTAATTGATTACATTACATTAATTGAAAAGCCTGAAACATGCACTTGTCAAGGTTCAGAGGCACATTTTGCAAATATGGCAGTAGCCATCAATCAGCTTAAGATAAGATATACTTTATTGATCCCAAGTTGGAACATTTGCGTTACATCAGCATGTGTAACAGTTAAATATGCAGTGGTGTTTATTTGTAAATCATTTAGTATAATCACACAAATTCTGTGTTTTATATTCAACAATTCTGTGTTCTTTATTTATTGATTGTTCAATACCGGAGATTAAATATCTACATACATTTTATAAGAGTATAATACATTATGTATAATATCAGTTAAAATAAATGCTTCAACATATAGTTAACATTGCTGGAGGTATGCACACATATTGATAGATGTCTTGTAATGCACTATTGAGGAACCTGCGACCCAAGTTTTTCATTCAATGCATAACTACACCATAGTTGTGTAGGCCTATATGATAATTATGTCAATAAACCTTAGAAAATCATGAAATCTTGAAAGGGATGTGCAAAATAGTCATTATATACAGTCTTTAATTAACTATTAGTAGAGAATAACGAGTAATGAATATACTTTATAGGGATCCTATTAATATCTAATAATAAAAATAATGAAATTCAATAACATGCTTTAACCACTAGGTGTCCCTTTATATCAGCTCTGCACCGTTATGGTGTAAATACAGCCTATCTACCAATTGGATCAAATATAAAAGTCAGCCGAATTAGTGTTGATACTGCAAGGAGACGTATTGTGTGAAAATAAATGTAAGATGTTGTTTAATGGCTGATATATTTATGATCCACGTCACGTTTTCAGTTCCTCATGTTTGTCTAGAAGTCTTCTCATCAGGGCTCTATAAATACAGAACTACGGCAGATATGTAATATTTAATGCAGCCGAACCGTGTATTACAATGCCGGTATGTGATGACTTTCAAAGAGAAAAGCAAGCACACTCGGAATAAAGTATTATTTTATTTTTTTTAAATGTTTTCGGTCTGTTTCCGGTATTTGTTAATGACGATGTACTGTGAGATGTGAGACTGGAATTGCACAGGGGAAAATAACGTATCTTTAGATGCGGATTTTGTTAAACTAATATGTTTGCGCTGTGGACCAACACTATACATTGACGGGGAAGGGGGTAGCAATAAAGATAACACCATTAAACAGTTACACAACATAACAGAAATAATATCGATAGCAGCGTCCCTAGCAACCACCTTGGTAATAATGAAAACGTTATGGACGCAATTTCCTGAAGTAATCTTCGTAATAACTAGTAAACTAAAGATCATGTACATCCACTGCACACATAATCTGAAATAACAACTCATATTTCTCGCATCAAATGACATCAAAACGCATTTTAATGGCCAAACTAACTTTAAAATAGGCATTTTCCACCGAGAATAAAACGAAGTTCGGCCATGTTTTTTTTTTCTGCAGGGAGAAATTTGAAGATCACGTGACGTCAAACAGAGCACATGGTGTAGTCCAAACGATAGCTGGGGATTCTGGGTAGTGTAGTGTCTTCTGCCATCCTTTACTCCGAAAACATATTTGTTTTCTCCGAATCGAAGGGGAAAAATACAAAAGCATTGCACACAATTTAAACCAATCAATGTTGTGTAATTAACCAGGATAATCTGGTGTGTTTTAGTCGATGAGTAGTGCAGATATCACTGTAAAATCAATCGACAGTAAGGGGAATACTTACTTCCGGGTGTACAATTCTCCGTTATCCAATGAGAATGGACGCTCACATTGCCTTTAAGGGCAGCCGACACAAACGAATGCCGTGCTTCCATGAGCGTCCATAGAAGCATATGGACATCCCGGAAAGCTGAAAATGGACGCTAAGGGCTCCCCCTTGCGTTGAAAATAGACGCTAAGGCCCCCCCCCTTGCGTTGGAAAAAGCCGACAGGGGACTTGACATAACGTCAACATAGGCCGACCTGGGAGTGAGGATGTGTTGTCCCTTGCACTGTGACATCACTGTTGATTACCAGTGATGGTTAGACTTGAGTCTAACGCTGTTTTTCAATCTGGAGTTAAGTTACCCTATAGTGCCCAACCTGTGCAAGAAGCCGGTCAGTAGCATGTAGTTAAAATGTTGTGATTGCACATTATAATGACCAGAGTGTCATACTGTACAACCAGAAACATGCCACTCTCTTCACCTATCACTCATTTGCACTATGGTGGTTGTTAACTGAACATGTTTGTGTGAAAGTATCAACTGTTATTGAGCTGTGTACAAGAAATTACACAAGATCCATTGTACAATGAAAGACAGTGAGATTGTACAGAAAGCCACTAAAATAAGTATTTTTGTAGAACCAAATCACAATTGTTAATGAGACATGGCATGTAATTAAACACAATTATTTGAAAGCATTTGAATTTGCTTTGTTTTTTGCTGCAGTAGGTTTATGTTCACTGCACCGCAATGGTAATAAGGTGTTTTTTTATCGTTGTGCAGCAGACTGTGGCTTATTAATCCTGTCTGTAATACAAAAATAATAGTGCTTGTTAGTTCAAGCTGGAGATGAATGTCAACATTATTATTCCTGCAGGAATAAAAGGCGATCCAGTAAAGTGTCAGAGGGTGAGCTGGCTGGAAAGGCGGCACCCATGTCTGCTTTTGGCTTACGCAACCGGTACCTCTCAAGGCTGGGTGCACAGGTATGCACAAACAGACACAACACTTACGCTTTGACTCAATTAGGAATCCAATTATTTCCTAATTCAGTTTCAAAACGTCACACTGGCAATGCTTTTTTTTTTCCAAAGAAGAACAGGAGAATTGTTTTGTTACTGCTTCACTTTATTATTAAACAAGTTATTATTTCACATAAACTGTGCTCTTTTTTCCCCATCACTTTCTCTCATCCTCTCAGCTCCCAGACCACTTCTCTTCCCACCTGTCATCACTTTCCCACAGGAGTGTTCTGAAATGATGTCCTTCATTCAGCTGCTCCTTCAACACTGTAGCTCTGTGGCTCCAGACAAATATGCACTAAGAAAGATAATACCTACAACGTGTCCCCGTTTACAGAAAATACTCATGCTCCTTTTGCCTTCAAGGTATTCCTATCGTCCACAGAAGTTACTGTTATTCTAGAAATTTAGACTGTTATCTGTTATATCATTAGTATCACCAAATACCTTTATTGTTCAGTTATTTTCTATTTGCTCCACCTTATCTTGTGCCTTTTTATAGAAACACCACAACCTAAAACAATTTTGATTCTTGTATAATAAAAATAAAAGCTAATGCTATGTTGCCTGTAGTTGCTGTTGGGTCTGGTCTAGAGGCAAAGCCTTCTTCTAACGACAGAGGGCACCAGTTCCCTCAAATGTTAAATGTCACCTCTGGCCACACAGTATCATTTATTATCAGAACCGCCATTGCAGGATATAGTCTCTTACTTTTGCTTTTATTTAAGGTTTAGGTTGCAATAAGTCAGTGTAGGCTACATAAATATGCCCACAAGTCAGTGCCTTGTGTGACCTGTTGAAGTTTGCAAAATACATTATTAAATAGCCTACATAACATTTAAATAATTATACAATTAATTATTAAACAGTTAAGACAGTGGTATAATTTCAGAGTTATTACCGCTCTGACTAGTGTTAAAAGTCACTTGTGGATATTTGAGACTTCTAAACGATGCTCTACCCTCCGGACCTGTAAGTGCTGCCTGCATCCACCAGACACAGGATGGGCACCACTCTTTTCCTCCTCACCGACAGCCAGGCCCGCAGCTTCCTACGCTGCCGATCACTGCCCAAAAAGTAGAGGAGAGGATTTGCGCAGGAGTTGAAGCTGACCACAGGCTTCCACACTTTAAAGGAGATCATGACTATGTTCAGAAGATGACAGTCCGCGGGCATGTACACCCTCACAAACAAGTAAACGGTCCGAGAAATGTGATAAGGGACAAAACACACCACAAACATGAGAAACACAACGAAGAGAGTGGAAAGAGACTTGTTGCGCATACGAGCAGTCCTGGCGTGAGAGATGCTGTCCGTGGCCCTGCAGTAAAGCGCCGTCATCATGGAGGTGTAACAGGTGATAACGACGAGGAATGGGATCAGAAACCCCACTATGGCTAAAAACATCCCATAGGGAAAGTACTCTTTAAATTGCTCGGGGCTGGTCATTTCAAAGCACACAGTCATGTTGTTGATGACCCCCGTGTGTGCAAAGACCAGTGTCGGTAAAATCTCTGCAGTGGCCAGGATCCAAACCGACCCTGACGCAAAGAGGGCCAGTTTGCTGGTCCTGAAGCGCACACCAGCAATAGGGAAGCACACACCAATGAAACGGTGCACGCTGACGCACGTGAGAAACATCATGCTACAGTGGAGGTTGACGAAGAAGAAAAACCTGACGCTTTTACAGATAATGTTGCCGAAGGGCCACAAGCCGCCCATTGCGTTGCTGATGATGAGAGGGGGCAAGGCCAGCACGTAGAGGAGATCCGCCACCGCGAGGTTGGTCATGTAGATGACCGTGCTGCTCCAGCGGCGCGTCCGGCCGCAAACGCACCGCAACAGGGCCCCGTTCAAACACAAGCCCAGCAGAAACACGAGGCTGTAGGACACTGGTAGAAGGATCCTTTTGTAGTAGTTGGTAACTGGACATATTTGGAAGTCCTCCATTCAAATAGGTGGTTTGATAAGTTGGTGGCCTAGTCACTTAACTTAAGAGTAAATTAACTTTGTTCTCCTTGCACCTCATCGGTCTGCAGCTCACCTCTGTGCTCTAAGGATGGCGTGTGCTTCGTTAAAAAAAAGATTGAAACCAAATGTATGTGTTTGTTCAACTCGTGTTTCCCTCCTGGTCTCAGCCCACACCTGTGTGATGTAAACCATTATAAAGCCATATCTAGGATATGAGCAAATAGACTGGCACATAATAGGCTGAAGATACTGTAGTATGAGATTGCCCTTCTCCAGAAAGCAGGCGTGCAGAATAACTAATGCTGTGATTAGAGCCGATTGCCGAGTTAAATGACACCATCTACACACGCGCGGTGGGCGCTGTATGAAAACGCGCGCACGCTCAGCGTCCCATTGGCTGAGAGAAATTCCAAGTCTGGTGTCTCTCCGGCTGCTCCCGACTCAAGGTGTTCACTTCATCTCTGTCTGACCGCGGAGAGAGGGAGAGCTCATCATGCTGAGGAACGGCACGTGCAGGTTAGTGGCACATCCACCGACTGTTCTTAGTCATACATGTAAAGCAACAATGTTTATTTAGGACTAACGAGCAGCTCCAGTACCGGCTGATTCGACATGCACTGATGAGTGATATCATTCTGCATGACGGTACTCTGCAGCCGCACACAGTGAAGGTGTATCGTTCACTGAGGGTTTATAACATGTATTTTATATCTGGGGATTTTGTGTATCCTAATTTGAGCGCTGTCCTTCCAGAAGCATGTATCAGGGAGAAGAGGCGAGGCTGCGCAGCGGGAATCAGGCTGTGGCTCGGGAGAGGAAACACCTTGCTCTGTGCATTAATAACCAGGTAAGAGGCATCAAGGACAGAGGGCAACCGACTAGTACAGTATTATGGCATGACTGTGAACAGTGTATATCCCTGGAAAGATATTGCTAATGGATGATGGGATCTCTTCTGGTGAGGGAACATTTCAGCAATGATGTAATTCACTTTCTGATCTTTTTTTGGAGCAGTAAGTTGATCCTCAGTAGCAAAGTCTCTAATGGGAAAAAGAGCCCATAGACCGAAGAAACAAATTGAATGTATACTATTATTTTTGGGGGGAATTTGACATAATTTAGGCAACTATTCTCTGCTTGCTGGAGAGACAACAGAGAAGTATCATACTACGGACAGGGACTGTAAAACTAAAACTCTCCCCCTGCAACTGTGTACCCTATACAGTACACCGCTTTGGATTTAGCTTCCCTTTATTCACCCATGCAAATGGTACAATTGACTGAATTCAATTTAGTTTGGAGAATTGCTTTTTCATGTTGGCTTGAGGCGGCTTAAAGATTTGTGTCATGGCAGAAGCTGAAAAGGTTTCAGAAATACAGGCCTATTGGAACTCCAGCTACATATAACTTTTCTCATATGCGACTAATGCACAGTCACGATCATATCACAATATATATACCAAAAAAACCATCTATAACTTTTTTCATTGTGTGTTGTCTCTTTTCTGGCTAATAAATGACACTCAAAATAGGTGTGTGTGGAGAGAGGGGTATTTTACATGTTTTAAAACTTTAACAGTTGGCTTGTGAACAGTGGTTGTTGTAATTGACTGCCTAATTTAAATTAGTTTGCTTATCCTATTTAAAAGAAGTATATGATGTTTCCTGTGTGTGCTTGAGTGAGTGTTAGGTGCACAAGTTCACCTGGTTGTTCTGAGTTTCTGAATATTTAATGCCAGTGATGTAGTGTTGCGCATTATCGGCGGCAGGGGATATTGAGCGCGTGAGCTCTGAAAGCACTGTTCCATCACAGCACCTGACTCACAGCAATATATTATGGTGGTGCAACCCTCCAAAACACACACACACACACACACACACACACACACACACACACACACACACACACACACACACACACACACACACAGTCTTGTTCATTGCATGTTCTCTAATTTTGACTTCAGATTTGTACCACTGCACCACTTGACAGTTGTATTTTATTATTGCTCTCAAAAAATGACTTTTCCAAATGAATCCAACTTCACTCTGTGAGACGCCATGTCAGAGTAGGTTCATATAGGACTGCAAGGGAGGAAATGAAGAAGCTTCATGTAGGACTAACCAGTAATTGGTATGTGAATTATGAGTGAGGACAGAAATGCAGGTTATTGGATATGAAGGCTGCTCCACTTGCTGTGTCTGTGTGAGTGATTCAGATTCATTGCAGAGGCGTGAACCCCCAGAGAAAGACATTAATCTATCCAGCTATTACCTCATAATCAATGGGACAGATGCATTTTACGGCCATGAGCTCTGGTTGTTAAACATTTTACACACAGCTTATTTAAACAGCATGCCACAGGGGGTCGCGTATGGGGTTGTGCATGAAATATACAATACAGGAAACATTGTTGACACAGCATTAGCAGCTGGAATCTTCAAATCATTCATCAGTATCACACACGAAGCCCCTTGGTGTTCTTTAGGCAGAGAACATGCAGAAATATTTTTATTTTATTGAATTGTGTGCTTCACAGGAGCAACAATCCAGCATAAACAAGTGCAGGGCAGCATCAGTTCACCAACCAGACACAGATATTCTGTAATATATAAAGGGATGTACATAGTGGGAGTGTGGTGAAAGGGAAGGGTGTCATATTTCAGAAGTGCATTATCGTCTCTCTCCCAGTGGGACATAGCTG